CACCGCAGAGACAAGCCGCACGAACCATAAACGCTGCGAGTTGTGAAGCGCGTTCCATCCGCGAGCCGCATCACCGCGCGGAAAGTGAACGCGTCAAGCATAAACCAAGCTTAAGCCGGGTGTGTTTTCCATTCCTGACTGACGAGACTTGAGTACCGAATGTCCTCTCTCTTCTCCTCTCTCAGATGATCCTGTTGTGATGGAGCCGAACGTTCAGAGGAGCACCGGCAGCTCCGCAGCGCGGCTGGTGTCTCCGTCGCTCCTGTTCACCATCATCCCTGTTTTATTAGCCGGGACGTTCCACTGAGACTCACCCAAACAGACTCTTCTGACCCCATGCTGGTTATTGGGACATCGATTTTTTTATAAGGATCTTTTTTTATTATACGAGCGTCAGCTGTTGGTGTTGTTCAGTGTGTGTGTCGGTGTGTGTGTGAACGTGGAGCGTGGATCGCTTCGAGCAAAAAGAACTTCAGAATCTCTAACTTTTCCTTCTGACCTTTGAGGATGAACATTCTCAACTCTGACCGTTTAACGTTCGCGTTTTTGGATGAATAGGAACTGAAACTACAAGTAAAATGATCAAAATCTCATCTAAACACAAAAGATCCGTCGCCTCACCAGTGTGCACCGTTGGTGCCGCGTCACCACTCGCTTTTCTTTCTCTACATGTAGAGGATTTATGGATGTGTGTGTATTTTTGTCAGTAGAAGTTTTTTGCATTTCTTATGTCGCGTAGCACTCAGCTCCTGGTTCTCTAGTTAACGGTCTTATTCAGTGTATTTATTCTGGGATTGTTAAAAAAACTATTTTTCAGATTTAAAAATGTTTGTATTTGTCAAACATTTATAAAACACTGGTGAAATAAAAGTATTTAAAGTGACTGTAATGATTTAAATTACATGTTATTTAATACGCCATGAGGCGTAGGATTCCATAGGAAATATGAAATCCACCTTACGGATCTGTGAGGTTATTTTAACCAGAAGATTGGATCTTTTTATTGCAGGGATTAGAAAACCGCTTTGTATTCACTCTGAGACAACAGAAGAGCGAGTCGAGTTTAAAAGTTTAAAGATTTATTAAAAACTAATTAAACGAGACTGACTTTAACACTAAATGTATGGTGTAACTAAGGTGGATGAGACGGGGAATGGGGTGAGGTGTGATGTTGCTCAGAACCAGCCAATCCGAAGAAGCGATTAGTTCTGATGGGAGCTGAAGGTGATGTCTTCGCGTTAAGCTTTGGTTAGGAGATTCATAAACACATTCGACGCCATTTCGCCGGCCTACGTACCCTTAGCGGGAGCCCCCGTTAGATCAGGAATGTCGAGGTCCAGCTGGAACCGAAGCCGGTAGGAAAAGCAGCGGTTGCCGACCAGACCAGTCTGTGAGACACTTCTGGGTCACGACAATTTTTTTTTTGGCATCTGGTGAGACCCGAACCTGGGTCGTGATGGTTCAGCTTTTATTCTGAAAGGAACCGTTGCAGCAGGTGGAACAGCAACAGATTTTATCCAGCTTGTCGTTGGTTCTTTCGGCTGAGGAGGAACGTTACGGATTGGCCACTCCGACAACTTCTCTAGAACGCTTTGAACTGGCGTTAAAGATGACGTGGGCATAGTTTTATAATTAGGATGTTTTGGTTTATGGTCGAATGAAAAGATGACAGATTTACCAAACACCACCAAAACCACGCCTCCATCTGATCTGGCAGATTCTGATTGGATCAGTGAAACCAATGTGTCATGTCTTAACGCTACGTGAGATCAGTCCTAGTGGAAACATTTAAAGTCATGTTACTTATTATATTCTATAGGATTATAATAAAGTAACTAATATTTTGATTTCACAGATTGGTCACATCTTATTTATTGCCTAACACTTTGCGTGATCAGCTTATTAAAATAGAGTTCTTTGATTATTAAATGGAGAGAGTCCATTCTTCATTCTTCTGTTGAGCTGAAAAGAAAGCAGGTTATAGCAAATCCAAGAGACCATATCTCATGCAGACTAGTCCTGTGTCAGAGGAGAGGGAGAAACAGTCATTTCATTCTGCTACATGACTCACGGTAATATATTTGTTCGTATTTCTCGTGTCAAAAGTTCTCGTCTCTAAATTAAGAGAAAAAAATGAGAAAATCCACAAAGAGTTTCAGGAGCTGAGCTTCATCACCACTTCATCTCACTGATACGGTCTGGCTGGTTTTATGGTACACTGGTTGGTGTTGGCAGAAATCATCCTGCTCGCACATCATCAAACCTCAAAATGAAGGGGCTTCCCACAATGCATTCTGTCTGTGTTGTTGTTTGTGCTTGTTCATGTTCATATGTAAATTTGTACATAAAGAAAATTATACGGCACTGTTTTAAGATGTGAAAAAGTTTTTGGTGAAATAAAAAACATGTTCTAATGAGAAAAATCTGTTTTCTGTCAACTGTTGTGAAACGTGTTGTTGCACAGCTGACCTTGGATCTCCAGAACCCACTGAGATCATAAAAGAGTTTGATGGATGACACGAGTTTGGCGAAGACGTCTGTCTCCCGCCTGATGAAATCACACCGGCTTCCTCCAAGTTTCCACCCTTAGTTCTTTTCCAGCCCCAGTTTTCTCATCTCTGGCGTACAGCATGACCTGGCTCACATTTCACCATCTCACAACTAAACACAAGAACAAGGAGGTGGCTTGAAAGGGAACCGGGGGGTTCAAGAGGAAGAGGGCAAACACAAGCAAAGTGATAACTCTGTGTGAAAGTGTCGCTGCTGTGTCCTCGCTCTCACTCGCTCCCTCCTTTTTTTCCACTACTTTCACCGCTCTGTCCACCTTCGTTTGAGGTGAGGCCTGGCATCCGTCTACCCAGCTGCGTGTTAAGATGAGGTGCACAAACGTTCGTGCCTGCAAACCTCAGAGCTCACTGAAAACTGTCAAAAGTCACCGTTCACTGTAAAAACCACACGGCATGCACTCTCAAACTCAGAATATGAAACAGAACGGTTTAGTTTTCCATAATAACGTCATAGCTTACATTGACTGCAGATGATCACACCGTCTCAAAACTGAAGCGTTATCCAGCATGCATGCATTTGAGAGGTCAGTACAGGTCAACAACGGCCAACATGTGTAATTCTTGGCATTGCTGGGGCGTGCATTCATGCCTCAGTTCAACACTATAACATGTACCATCTAAAAAAGGAGGAATGCATTGATACATTATTAAATATTGAGTATATATGGTAGACCTAAGGTAAAATTTCTTTATTTGAACAAAAAAATAAAACAGGAAGACAAAGTGAGACTTTTGCAGCAAGATAAACTATCAAAAGCTCCCAGTAGGTTTATGCGAAGTTTTGTGTTCAGATTACAGTTGTTTTTCCTAATTAATCAGAGTAAAAGTAATAAAATTACAAAATATTAAAGTTAATACAGAAAAACAAATTACTTTATAAACATATTTTAACATCTTAATGTGGTGAAAAGTTATTCAATGTTATTTAAATGTATTTAAATGCCGAGTCTGGAACGTTTACCGCACGCAGCACCGTCCACCGAGCTGCTGACTGGCCCTTTAAATTTCCTGAAACGACATCACGTTGCGTGTGACGTTTTTAATCTCATTGGTCAAACCCTCCCCTCCGGGTCTGACGCTACCCAATCAGAGGAGACTATCTCTAAGCACGTTGATTGCAAATACGGAAATGCAGATACAGCGTCTCCGTAGTTAACTTAGCATTGTTTTCTTTCTCGTAGTTTGGGAACTTTTGGTTAAAAGCGCATAAGCAGCGAATAATAAACAAGTTCCAAATATATTTTTCGCTCCTCATGGATTTAATACAACTTCTGTCATGGGCCTGCATCGTGTTCACCGTCGGGATGTTCTCGACTGGACTGTAAGTTTCCATTTTTTTAACGAATCTAAGAAGTGACATTTAATGTCATTACTGGTGAATGCGTTATTTTTTCTGCGGGGTGTAAAGAGGCAATATGGTTGTGAATCCCGAGTTTATATTAAATAAAATATTACTTTTTCTCGTTGAATGTTCTTAACTTTGTTTTTCCAGGACCGACCTGAAAAAGATGCGAGAATCCAAAAGCACAGAAAACATCCAGTTCCTTCCCTTCCTCATCACATGTCTAAAGTATTAAGTGTTTCTTTTTGATCATCCATCTCTTTTAATCTCCACCTCTCATTTAATGATCATCCTGTTTCCATAGTAACCTGGGTTGGCTGTTTTATGGCATCCTGAAGACGGATCAGACGATAGTTGTGGTTAACACCATCGGCGCTCTTCTACAAATCCTCTACATCACCATGTACTTCTTCTACACCAAACAAAAGGTAAACCAGGTGCTGAGTGGAGATCTCCAGGACTCTCACCTGACTACTCACATCTTTTTGTTCCTCTCTGACCGTTGCAGAGACTTGTGACGCTCCAGACTCTTGCTGCAGGGACGGTGTTGATCTGTGTCTGGTTATACTTCACCACCTTCCTCACTGAAGGAGCGACCCGGCTCAGCCAGCTGGGACTGACCTGCAGCTTGGTCACCATCGGCATGTACATGTCTCCTCTCATCGACCTGGTATGCAAAGCACACAGAATGCTCCCATCAGATGTAGAGCAAAATCCAGCGTCTTCTGCAGTTGTCTTTACCTGAGATCCAACACTATTCCTAAAAAGGTTAATGCAACGAATCCTCAGAAAACATCTCTAGATATTTGTGATCATGTCTCTTCATTAGAGATTAGATGGAAAGAACCTCGTCCTGAGGACACTGACCCAGATGTACGGGCGCTGCACACTAACTAAAAACAACCTTTAAAGCATAAGCAAGGACATTTAAAATCGCCATAAGGCCTAAAAGTGGGCATCTTTAAGGCCATATTTTACAACTTTTTCATAATTTTAGATCATTTTCTTGAGCCAATATGTGCTAAAAATGACTCTACATGCTTAATGAATAGCCACCCAGCCCCTATTGCCCCTGTGGCCGGAATATTCCGAATGCAACTTCATACTGGCGGGCTGCTCTGTTGGGACTTGGAGAAGACTGAGCCGACATACCTGGCTCTGCAGTCTGCTTCCAGCACGTTTCCTGCATGTTTTAGTTCATGAACACAGCTGATTTGTTTAAATTGGTGACAAACTGCTCCTGTAGACACTAAGGAAGGCTGGGAGACATTTCAGCTGTTAGATTAATGCGTTAAAAAGACGAACGCACAGCAAAAAGATAGGTTTTGCTTTTGGTTCTACAAACGGACACTAGGGGGTGGTAAAAGCAAGCCAAAACAGACTAGCCTCACTTTCAGAATTGGAGTTTTATGCAAATTTAAGCCTGAAGTGAACAAAGTGGATTTAGAAACCAGCACGCTTCGGTCCTTATAACAAATTGGATTGTTAGTTCTGTGGAAGTTGAAGCAGAAACAAGGCGACAATAAACCAAACAAGATGATTTGTTGTTAGGCTTTTTTTTCTTTACAAAGTAAGAAATGCAAATTCCTATAGCTTTTAAATGATAAATGACCCGCACTTGTATAGCGCCTCTCAGAGTTAGGACTCCATAGAGCTTTACACTACAGTGTATCATTCATCCATTCACACACACATTCACACACTGATGGTGATGAGCTGCGATGTAGCCACAGCTGCCCTGGGGCGCGCTGACAGAGGCGAGGCTGCCGAGCACTGGCGCCGCCGGTCCCTCCGACCACCACCAGCAGCAGGCAACGTGGGTTAAGTGTATTGCCCAAGGACACAAGAGCAGAATTCTCTGTCCGGAGCCGGTATTGAACCTGCAACCTTCCGATTACTGGACAACCCGCTCAACCTGTTGAGCTGCTGCTGCCCCGTTTACCACGTGACCCATCTCACAGTGATTTTGTTACCTGAGATCCCGTTCAAGAGCTGGGAGACCTAAAACAGGAAACAGAATTAAATTGTCATCCTTCTGTGTTTAAGTATGTCAGATTATGAGATTATTGTGTAAAATCAGGAACGCCCAAGTCTAAATTTTACTGAACACTTCCCGTGTATTTGGGAGCTGGATCACCTGGAAGCCTTTTGTCAAACACATCTTCATCCTGTGTCACAAATGAAAGAATTCAGATCAACCCAGTGAGACGCTTTTGTAGAGAAGTCCAGCTCAGGTCGCCGGCTTAATAAATCCCCTGAGTGCTGCCTTCGTGTGGCCTCGCAGCATCTCGTGGTTCCATCCTTCATCCTGTTTGTCTCTTTCCCTCCATCCGCCTCGGAGCTCTGATCTGACCTCCAGGCAGCTTCCTGCCTGCCATTTTTTCTTTGTCTTCCTGTTATTGTGGTTCTGTTTGTTCCCGCTTACAGTTTACATGATGCGACCCAAAGCAGAACTACAAAGCTGTGGACTTAACTGTAGCTGTAGATTTAGTCAGTGATACAAAACTTTATTTTGCCTTATTTAAATTAAATATGAGGTTCAAAACAATTGTGAAAATCATTTTAGCCCAGTTTAATTTCTATTTGAATTTTTCGTTGATTAGGGGAGGAAGTGAGCAGAGTCGGGAAGAGTTTTGCTGAGATTACAGAAAGCAGTTCTGACTAGGGTTGTCACGGTAACCGGTGTAGCGTAAACCCCGGTAGAAAAGTTGACAATAATAATAACCGTCTTGTTTTAAAAAAAAACATATTATCTCGGTGGGTTACCGTGGCTGCGGTGTAGGTGCGCTGACCCTTACCAGCCACCGTATCATCTGCTGAAGTTGCCGGCGGCACATGCGCACTTTGTTGTTTACAACCAAAACTTTCTTGAAGCTAAAGCTGAAATAATGGCCAAAGGAGGAGACGGCAGCGCTCAGGACATTTATTATCCCTCAAAGAAGACAAAGTGGGAAGTACGGGCATCTTTTGGATATTTGAAGAATGCCGAGGGACAGCTGATAGAAGACGGCTATCCTGTTTGCAGCACGAGCAGAAAAAGTGTCTGTGAAAGGCAGCAACGCTTCAGATCTCATGACACATCTGCGTGACCATCACCCACAACTCTACAGTCAACGCAAGGCAAGCTAACGTTAGCGTTTTAGCTAAAATGCGTGATCCGAGGATTTGGGTTGAGGGAGAATGCAACGAGTCGCTATATAAAGCAGCCGCAGCGCCGCTACCTGCATATAAACCGTGTCGCGGACACCGCCATGTTGAAATGACGCTATGCATTACGGGGCTCCCAGGGGCAGATAAGGGTTGGTCTCTCTCCGAGAATAATTATGAATTTAACAACGATTACTGCCTGATGACATTTTCCCACATCTGCAAAGCTCACTGGAAGGACACAAACCGAGGACAATATTTTCCTGATATAGGGTTTATTACTCAAGTAAGGGTAAAAAAGTATCTGATTAGAAGGCTACTTGAGTACTGAGTATCATCTAATCTGGGGCAGTTCCTGTGGAGTGGCAGACAGGGGTGGTGGTCCCCATCTTTAAGAAGGGTGACCTGAGGGTGTGTTCCAACTATAGGGGGATCACACTCCTCAGCCTCCCTGGAAAGGTCTACTCCAAGGAACTGGAGAGGAGGGTCCGATCTATAGTTGAATCTCAGATTGAGGAGGAGCAATGTGGTTTTCATCCTGGCCGTGGACCAGCTTTATACCCTTGCAAGGGTGATGGAGGGGGCATGGGAGTTTGCCCAACCAATCCACGTGCTTGGTGGATTTGGAGAAGGCTTATGACCGTGTCCCCAGGGGCACCCTGTGGGGGACGCTCCAGGAGTATGGGGTGGGTGGCTTTCTGTTAAGGGCCATTCAGTCCCTTTACCAGAGGAGCGTGAGTTTCGTCCGCATAGCCGGTAGTAAGTCGGACCTGTTCCCGGTGAGGGTTGGACTCCGCCAGGGCTGCCCTTTGTCACCGGTTCTGTTCATTACCTTCATGGACAGAATTTCTAGACGCAGCCGTGGTGTGGAGTGTGTCGAGTTTGGTGGCAGGAGAATCTCGTCTCTGCTTTTTGCGGATGATGTGGTCCTCCTAGCTTCATCCAGCTCTGACCTTCAGCTCTTGCTGGGTAGGTTCGCGGCCGAATGTGAAGCGGCTGGGATGAGGATCAGCACCTCCAAATCTGAGACCATGGTTCTCGACCGGAAAAGGGTGGCTTGCCACCTCCGGGTCGGGGGAGAGGTCCTACCTCAAGTGGAGGAGTTTAAGTATCTCGGGGTCTTGTTCACGAGTGAGGGTAGGAGGGATCGGGAGATCGACAGGCGGATTGGTTCGGCGTCTGCAGTGATGCGGACGCTGAGCCGATCTGTCGTGGTGAAGAGGGAGCTGAGCCAGAAAGCCAGGCTCTCGATTTACCGGTCGATCTACGTCCCAATCCTCACCTATGGTCATGAGCTTTGGGTAATGACCGAAAGAACGAGATCGCGGATACAAGCGGCCGAAATGAGTTTCCTCCGTAGGGTGGCCGGGCTCAGCCTTAGAGATAGGGTGAGGAGCTCGGACATTCGGGAGGGACTCGGAGTAGAACCGCTGCTCCTCCGGATCGAAAGGAGTCAGTTGAGGTGGTTTGGGCATCTGGTCAGGATGCCTCCTGGACGCCTCCCCGGGGAGGTGTTTCGGGCATGTCCTGCCGGCAGGAGGCCCCCGGGTCGACCCAGGACACGATGGAGAGGTTACATCTCCAATCTGGTCCGGGAACACCTTGGGGTCCTGCCGGAGGAGCTGGTGGAGAAGGCCGGGGAGAGGACGGTCTGGAGCTCCCTAGTTGGGATGCTGCCCCCGCGACCCGGACCCGGATAAGCGGAGGAAGACGACGACGACGACATCAAACAGACAAAAAATAAGAAGTTATTGGCAAATATTGGTATTTTAAAGACTAAAGTGGAAAAATGTAAACAAATCAACAACATAATTACAAAATAACACATTTTAGACAAAATTTAGACACAAACTGAGGACAATATTTTCCTGACATACAGGGTTTATTTAGTTGTCTGAAAATGTAACACGTTTAAAAAAAATACCACGATAATTTTGGTCACAATAACCGCGAGTTACATTTTCACACCGTGACGACCCTAGTTCTGACAAAATCACATAATGATAAAAGAGCAAACCGACATTCTCCCAGAACCAAAACAACCTCTTTAAAGTTTCACACGTTGAATAATTCAAATTTCAATCCCGTTTTTTACCTTCTTTTCTTCTTCAGGTGGAGATAATCCGCAGTGGGAACGTTCAGTGTTTGTCCTACCCTCTGACTGTCGCCACCTTCTTCACCTCCACCTCCTGGGTCCTTTATGGCCTCCAGCTGAACGACTACTACATCATGGTAGCGTGCTGCTAATGCACACACAAATCACCATAAACATAAACTATACACCTCAGAATGGTTCCAGGATATACAAGGATCTTCTCTGATGTTCTCTTTCCTTCCAGGTCCCGAACACACCTGGAATCCTGACCAGCCTGATCAGATTTTACCTCTTTTGGAGGTTTGCCCCTGCCGACCAGAGTTTGCCGTCCTATAAGTCGATGCAGTTATGAGGACTGGTAGATCGGGACTTGTCCTGTTTCCTGACACGAAGACCTGTTGTTAAACGGAGGGAGTCTGTTACTTTCCTGCAGCTACATGTTAAACATGTGACCTCGAGTGCCTTCATAAATGTGTTTACTGACCAGCACTTGTGTAGGAACAATCACATCAGCTAGCCAAAGATCCTGTGGAATTGGCTGATTTGGTATTAAGTGAAGTATGTATTCAGTTCCTGGTTGTGGAAAATGTAGTTTTGTTGGTTACAGCTTAGTGTGGCAAAGCAATAATAATAATGATGATGATGATGGTGATATTTGATCCCATAAGAGTTTGTAATGGTGTGTTTATATCGCGCGTCGTAAATGTTAGCCACGGGAAGTTTTCTGAATATTTGGGTCAGAACTTTTTTTATGAGATGTGCTCGTGAAGCTTATGTCCAAGACCAAATCATGTTCACTTATTTTTCTGTCTGTTTTTATAATTTGTGTATAAAAATGTATGAAAACCA